AATAGATCTGAGGCAGCGCTATCTACTAGTAGTAACAACTCAAAACTGCCAAAATCTGGAATACGCCCTTTCGTGTGACAGGCGACGAAATTCACTAAACCACTTTCAAAATTTCTTCAACACCTAAACATGATAAGCATTTGTATCTCACCACATGAAATTATATAGATCCATGTATGAACCATGAAGAACATAATAATATAGAACTTAGAAAATTACGTAAAAAATTCAATTCAAATAAAAAGAGGAAACAGAAAGGATTGAAAAAAAAATGTTTATGTGTTTGCGTTCGAGCATGCATACCAGCATGAGTGCATGAGCACACACGCATCTGTGTGTATGTGTGTGTGTGTGTGTGTGTGTGAGTGTGTGTGTGAGTGTGTGTGTGTGGGTGAGTGTGTGTGTGTGTAAAAGAGTGGTGATATGATCTTAAATATGAACAGTTAACAAATTTGAAACAATAAACAATACAATTATTTAAAATCTTTCTTGTAAAAGTGTGAAGTTCTTAAAATAATTCAGGATACTACAGTATTTTTTTGCAGTAAGATGATCGCTTTTGAACATAAGTACCTGGACAGAAAAGAAATACATAATAACAGTGATATATAAACTATTACAATTTCTGGAAATAGCACATTTCTTAACTTTGCAAGAAATCAACATAAGTAACAAAAGATATGTATGATCACGTAAAATGGTCTCTTCAAAGCAAATTATAAGTACGGCCACAGACAGATTGCCAAATAAAAACAAGTATTTTGTCCACAGATATATCATTAGCATTGTTATTCACTTGTATATGTGAGGCAGCGTGGTGAAATCAGGTGCTCCAAAATAATGAAAGTAAAGAAACTTACATTTTTCCGCTGTTTTGGCCATTTTAATCAAAATTTAGTTGTTTTCCTTACCACTTTCTATGTCTATTTAAGAACCCATTTTAGTGTGAATTATACTGAAAAAAATTGATTAAAGGCACAAAAAATGTAAATTGTCAGTTTTCACAGACTCTGAGGCTTTGCAAATAACCAGACTTTGGCGGCCATTTTATCACTATTTTTACCTCTGAAACCAGGCGACCCCCACCTCATTCAATCGCAAATATCTCAACATGTACTCAAGATAAATGGGTAATTCTTTTATGGAAAGCATGAGCAAGGTGAATAAACAAGCTATAAGGCAATACCAATAACTCCACAAGCCCAAAAATTCACGAGCACCTGATTCCATCGTGCCATGACACATATGACTAAAATACAGATGCAGGCGCGCACACTCGCACACTGGCACATACGCACCCACACACACCATTTTATTTTTAGAGCTTCCTGTTTCTCCATATTTCGAATCATCAGTATTATTGTTATGCACATCATAGCATTTTAACCAACTACATAATCTGGGGTTATTACTGATCCATAAGTTAGAGTATTTTTTTACATTGCAAGTTGTTAACAATAATCCTCTGCTGTTATGTTGAACTGTGTATGCAGTTATGAAAATGCATGTCGTGATTTGTATCTTAGTGTCAACATATCTGTTTGTAGTAGTTGTGGAGTTTTAACAACGTACAAGTTTGTCGAGCAGTGTGCAATATTTTTATTTTTAGAGAAGGTTTCTAGAATTTTTTTCTCGTTTATAGCATGTGCTTGCTGACCTGGAACTGGTTTTTTTTATTGTGATTCACATTGGGAATCTTGACGAGAAGAAAGAGGGCAACATGAACAAGCTTCTTATTTTCATGATCTATATATGCTGAAATGTCAAGAAGAAAAGAAGTCACATAATGTTTCCCAAGAATTATGACAAATCTTTATCTTAACTTAAAAGTGTACGTTCTCAATCTATGGATCCTCTCCAGCCAAAGGTTTACCTTCCAGACCATGCTATCTTTCCCTTTGATGGAAGGGATACTCAACTGGAAACTGACACTTTTACTTCAACTTGAGATTAACACAAAGGCCTATATGCACAACTCAAAAATAGTTTGAGAAAAGAGAAGCACATTGACACAAGAATGATCATTTAGTTCGAGAGCAAAAATTCATACAGAGAGACACAAGCAAGACAGGGAAAGAACAGAGGTCTGATCTACCAGTGGCACCCTCAAACCTCCCGCCACTATAGTACAGCAAAGGGAACAAACTCAATACACGCTGGCTAAACTACAGCAGTATCAACCACAGCAACAACAGCAGTAAATGCTACAGTAAGAACAGTAACATTGCCAATAAGAACAACAGCTCATTACTCACAAAGAATTTAGACGGGATTTCTTTTCTAAGGACCGATGATGACGAGTCAAGAATCTCAATCTTGGCATCATGTTTGTATATGTTGAGGACCTTCTCCCCAACTTCAGTCCGTCCTGTCTCGTCAGTCACAGAAGCCGTGATCTCGACCTCAATTTCATCCTTCCCTGTCGAATACTGAAGGACATAGTCCCAGTCAATGTCCTCGAACTGTGCTTTGCCACCAGGGGAAATCTGAGGAGTGATGCAAAAATTATGTCTTGTTGCCACTCAAAGGAGTAGACAAAGAATAACATAATTAGAGAACTTGAACAAACATGAGACAGGAAAAGACCAGGATAATGTTTTTTTTAAATCATCAAACCAGAGTGGTTAGTAATTGCTACAAATGTCGGTTTTAGATCAGGCACCTGAAGAAGAAGAAGCCAGTCAAAGTAAGGGAACTTTGTTTTTCCGAAATCTAAAACCCAAAAAGACAGAGAAAAAAAGGAAAGCAGCTACGACCTCTGGTCAACTTCAAAACTTTGGTCGAATCAATAACTGCGGTACAGTACCCAGGAAAACAAAAGTTCAAGTTCAAAGGGTCAATGTGAAAACTCCCTGAAATGATTGAAAGACATTTTTTTTTTTCAATTTACATTACCTAAATTCATATTCATTTCTTGTTCAAAAAATGTTTGGGCAATGTTCTTTGACACTTACAGTACCAAAGGCTCATATAATGAAAAACCCTCAAGTATCGCACCAGTTTAGAATGTTGAAGCCGTGATCAAATTTTTTTTAATTTAAAAAAAAACCTTGGCAACCCAAGAAACACGCTTTAAAAATTCATAGTGGTTCACCGTACGTCGTGTTTTAATATCATATCCATACGAAGCGGGGAACTCTGTGCCACCCCTTTCCAAAGAGGAAATTTACTCGTTAATCCAATTCATACACTTTGCATAGCTGTCTGTCAAAATCATTTTTTTGAGAAACATTGAAAGTTTCAAAAAGATCTTTGTATTCTAAAATGTGAAGAATACAACCCCAGGGGTATAAAATGACACCAGGACGTACCGATAGGGTTAACCATTTAGCTATCATATATTATAGAGCGACTTCCTTTGATATTCACTTCAGGGCAGAGCGTCCATTCATTGTTTAATAATTGTGAGGCAGCGTGGTGGAATCAGGCTCTCGTCAAAATAATCAAAGTGAAGAAACTTCCATTTTTCCGCCGGTTTTGTGAATTTTTATCAAATTTTTGTTTTTTGGCTAAGCACCTTTCATGCCCATTAAAGAACTCATTTCTGTGTGGATTTTTCTGAAAAACATTGATTAAAGGTACAAAAAATGTAAATTTTCAGTTACCATGGACTCTTAAGCTAAGGAAACAGCTAATCTTTGGTGGCCATTTTCTTACTAATTTTACCTCTGAAAACAGGTGACCCCCACCTCCTTCTTTCGCAAATATCTCGACTTGTATTCAAGATAAATGGATATTTTCTTATACAAATAAAGACAAATGAACAAGCTTTAAGATGATACCAATAACTCTACATGCCCAAAAATTGACGACAGCCTGATTCCACCACGCTGCCTCACAATTGTCTTCCCATAGAAAGATGATACCCAAAATTAGGACATTCAAGATTTTTGGTATCATCTAAAAGAGAAGGGGGGGAGAGGGGAGGAGAGGGGAGGGGAGAGAGGGGGGGGCATCTAAAAGAGAACACAACACACTGACAATAAAGTATAAAAGCATAACAGAAGAAAAAAAATACACAAAAAAATTGGTGTTCCACTTTTACACCAATTACACATAATCATTCCCTGTCAAAGTAAGATCTGAGCGCTGTCATCCTCCGTTTTTGCACAATTCTAAATAACAAGACTCTTGAACTTACTGCTTTGGCATACGTTCTTGCAAAAGTCCATCCTCGAACTTTGAGTTTGATCTCACATTTCCCTTGAACTCCTTCTCCATATGTATATCTGTAGATGGTCGAAAGAAAATAACTGTACACACTAAGGGACCACAGAACATTTTCATCACTCTCATTCGAAAATTGCGAGAGTCATTTTTGGGGCAAACTAAGAAATTCAATGGGCATATCTAAATAATTTGATCAGTTCCCCAGATATCTGTCAAAACTTTGCATTTTAATAAAAACACCCCCAAAACAAATGTTTTTAAAAACTATGTGTATTGTGTCTGTTTTGTTAGTGCAACAGTCTTGTTGGGTTCTTTTATTTTTCTCAATAAAACACCAAAAAATGACAGGCAATTATCGAATGAGTGTGACGATAAAGGAACACCAATCATTAGTATTTTCCCTCAGAGATGCATTTAATTTATTGACAAAACAGTACAACAGTTCTTTGCATTTTCATCAATTACTGAAACACCCTTAAGACTAAAATAGAAAAAAACTAATTACTATTGCTAGAGGTTGTATATTTCTAATCTCACCATGGATACAACTTTTCAACAATGAGTATGGTGCGTGTGTGTGTGTGTGTGTGTGTGTGTGTGTATGTGTGTGTGTGTGTGTGTGTGTGTATCTGTGTGTTTGTGTGTGCATGTGTGGGGTGTATGTGCATGTGTGGGATGTGTGTGTGTTTGTGCGTGCATGTGTGTGTATGTTTGTGTGTGCCTCTGTGTGTCTGTACATGCGCAAGTGTGTGTGTATGGTCGCCTCCATGTGTCAGTGTTTGTGTGTGTATATATGTGTATTCGCGTGCTTGTAAACATGTTCAACAACCATTTACTTACAAAGAAGTGACAGTGATTGTCGTGCCAAGACTTGTTCCGACCAAATAATTTGGATCGGCTGCCACATCCACAGAAAATCTAGGCAGGACTGAAAGTATACCAAAAAAAACAATGGTGGGGAGGAACAAAAGCACATTGAAAATATACAGATAGTTCACACAGCGATTTTAATTGCTGTTACAACTACATTCTTTTTCTTTCCAGTCTTCATCCTTTTCCTTTTGATTTTCGCCTTCTCCTGTATTTACCCACCAGATCTCAGAAGAAATTTTCTCGAGATTCTTCATCCCACAATGCACCTGTTTTTTTCTGAATAATGCTTACCCTACTTTCTTAATTGAAAGCCGAACAGTGACCTAAGCAAACATCTGAAGTTTCTAAAGAATTTCTGCGGGTGGCTGGCAGGTCTTCTGGTGTGGTTTGCCCCTATTTCTTAAAACACATCTGTTGTCCTGATCTCTCCTCCTTCTTTGTGGGTCTTGTTACCCTCTTGTAACACCTCTAATCTTAGGCACTTATATGACCTTCAGGTGTTGCAAGCTCCCTAAAACTCTTTCTTAAACAAAAAAATATTCCCTCAACTCAAGAGTTATTTATTTTGAATTTGGCTCTGACAGATGACCATGGCATGCGACGCTTTTCTTAAGACTTTGAATTGACAAGCTGTTTAGCCAACTTACAGTGGCCAAAATTCTGTGCATCTTTCTACTATCAAAACATCCGTATGACTTTCAATTGTCTTGGTTTCAGTACATCATGTCCCTAGATCTAACAACAGTCAAAACATCTGTCCAACTTTTATCTGTCAAGGGGCCTGTTATGTGTGCATCATTTACTTAAAACATCTAACTTTTTACATTTAAAACGGAAACAGTTACTTCTTAGAAGAGATCCCATCAATGAACAGGACCTAGGAAGAGAAAACCCAGTGAAAATCCAAAGTTATTCCTTGAGTTAATTAGTCTCAAACTAAGTGTTGAACCAGGTACATTAGGGCAAGAGGCAAGACATGTAATTCTTGCTTAGCTATATTCTCTTGTATATTCATCACCAGCAGGGCTTGGTACTATAGAGATCTAAAAAACCAAGGCAAAGTATCTGCCTTGACGTCTCAAAACGTTCCCGTTGCCACACGAAAACTGACACTTGGCCGTAATAATATTAACAATAATGAGACAACAAAGACAAAGAAGAAAAAAAGGAGGAGGATGAGGAGGATCATGACAATCATGACAATCATGATATTAATGATGATGATGATGATGATAATAATACAACAACAACAACAACAGTAACAACAACAACAATAATAATAGTAATAATAATAATAATAATAATAATAATAATCCTGGAGAAGCACTTCAGACGAAATTTTGAACCTCATTTTAAAAAAGATTTTAAACAACCATGCTCTAAACATAACCTCTACTTTTTCAAACTCAACTAAGACGATGATGATGATGATGATGATGATGATGATGATGATGATGATGATGATGATGATGATGATGATGGTGATGATGATGGTGATGATGATGATGATGAGGAGGAGGAGGAGGAGGGGGAGGAGGAGGGGGAGGAGGACGAGGGGGAGGAGGACGAGGGGGAGGAGGACGAGGGGGAGGAGGACGAGGGGGAGGAGGAGGAGGACGATGATTATGAGGAAGCATATGTGGCAAAACGTTGAGCCATTTCAATAAAACAAATTTTAAACAATTTTTATTGATATCTTTTTGTCTGAAAATCAAGTAAGACTCTCCCTCTTACTCTGCTTTTTAAACGATGATGATGATGATGATGATGATGATGATGATGATGATGATGATGATGATGATAAAGATGATAATGAGGGGGCAAAGGAGAGGAGGAGGACAGACCTTGTAACTTGCACAACACTCCATAGCATTCTCAGTACACTATGAAGCAGAGCCCCCAGTCAGAGAACCTCTTATCCCCCCACCCCCCCCACCCCTTCCTTCCCAACACATATGCTCATCGAGTAAGACTCTCCCTCTTACTCTGCTTTTTAAACAATGATGATGATGATGATGAAGATGATGATGATGATGATGATGATGATGATGATGATGATGATGATGATGATGATGATGATTTCTTTTTTTGTTTCCTTAATAAGCCTGGCGGACTCCACGAAAAAATCTTCGAGCGAGAGCGAGGCTCTTTTTCGGCTCCATTGTCAATATGCTTAGCGGCACCTCTACTCGTCCAAATAACTCCATTCGAATTGCCATTGTTCCTGGACATTCAAACATATGTTTGACATCTTCCTTTTCATGGCCGCATCTTCGGAAACATAGAAAGTTCTCATACCATCTTAAACTCCAATGATGGTCTGACCGCAGTCTCGCTAGCTCAACCTGGTCCCAGCAACATGTGATAGACTTTTGTTCCCGCTTATAGGAGTACCCAGAATACACATCTTCCAGGTGCTGGTACTTAGTTCTACATGGTGGGTCTCTGATTTCCCTCTTGATCATTGGAAAGACTCCTCTGTATGTCGTTGGTCATCTGTCTCCTTCAATCTCTCTGGCTTCATTAGCAGCTTGGTCTGCTACCTTATTTCTTTCTATTCCAACATGGCTTGGAATCCAAAGAATTATTATTGTGGCTGGCTTCACTGAACTTTCGGCGCAAATCATTCATGTCCGAGTTGTTGCCCAGCAGCCCCTTGCAGAGGGACTGACTGTCAGTCAAGATCAGCACATTGGTCCTACTGTGGCAATTGTCAGCAATAAATTGTGCAGCAGACATCATTGCCTGGCATTCCTCGTCATAAGATGATGTAAGGAATGCACTTTTAGTTTTAATAATTTCTGTTCGTGGTGGTTCATCATTCATTATCACCACTGCTGCTGCTCCACCTTCGCGGTATCCTGCGACAGCCGATTCATCGGTGAAAATTGTCACATCCGCACTAACCTCTTTGATCACATCCTCAGCTGTTTCACGTGCCGTTACAGGATCATCACCTTTTCCTTTTACTCCTCTCAGTTCTGTCCGAATTTCGATTTCGCCATGGGTCTCCCATGGACAAGCTCTCACCATATTGATCGGCCATCGATTCTCTGCTTCAGGGGGGAGGTGGTCTGCTAGATCGGTGCCCATCCGAAACCAACTTTTCCTGCGGTTTTTAGGCTTGACTGCTTGATCAAGGGCTTTCTTTCTAAGATGGTTGTCTGGTAATCTCTTAGCCATCTCTATAGACTTGAGGCATGTTCTTTTTGTATAGGTGGTGCAGTGCTCAGTTCTGGTCTCATAGCGCAGCGCTTCTGTAGGTGTTGTTTTCAGCTGACCTGATACAAGTCGGAGGGCTTTGTTTTGTATTCTGTCCAGGGTTTTTGCACTAGTCTCACTGAGCCAAGGCTGCCACGCTGGGGCAGCATAATCCATCTTGCTTTTCACAAACATCTGAAATACTTTCTGGAGCGACTCCTTACCCCAGCTCCATTTTGAGTTGCTGACAGCACCGGTAACCTTCATTTTTGAGGTTGCACTTTTGGTGATGATGATGATGATGATGATGATGATGATGATGATGATGATGATGATGATGATGATGATGATGATGATGATGATCCCCTCCCTCCCCTTCCTTCCCAAGACATATATTAACCCAGCCAGACCCTCGAACATCTCTCTCTCCTTCTAAAACCACAGGAGCATGTTCACCCAAACTCACCAAATTCCTCCACTTTAAAAGATGTAGAGTATGACATTTCAAATTCATCAGTGACATGGATCTTCCAATCGCCCAGAACAGGAAACTTGCCCAGGTGAAAAGTTTTCTCTACCACTCCTGAAAGAGGTAATGATAAAGGCAAATAAACAAAAAAATTAAATTCACAAAACTAACTAACTAACCAGCATTACATCAGAGCGTTAACAGTGCAACTGAAACATTACATGCGCTGGGAATACGTACAGTAAAAATTGTCAAAGATAACCACCTGCTGTTGAGGAGAAAAGTGCTTGTCTTAAAGACAGGTATACAGCTTGGGCAGGACTGATGAATAATATGAAGAAAACAAAGCATTCCCTTCGGAGGTCCCATCAAAGGCGGCCGCAAGCTCAGGACTGCTGTCAGGCCCATTAAATTAATTTCTTTTTTCTTTTGAAGGGAGGAGGGAAAGGCAAGTTTTATGGCCGCTGTGAGTGTTAAATTTTATAGTGTTTCAGGTGAAGAAAATGGTGTGCTAATGGAAAAGCAAAAAATGTGCCAGGCAATGAAGACCGAGTGCGGTGGTTAAACAAATAAATCAGTGGCCACCACTTAGAGAATGTCAGTGAGTGACGCTTCTGTCACAACTACATGTTGACGTTTGTTGTTACTGACTGGGATAACAGAGCATCCACTCATCTCACTTCTGATTTGTGTATGGTCAGATGACAAGGAACTATTGCATCATACTGGTTCCCACGCCTCACTCATCAGCAGCTGAAAATTTGATACCGACTGATAAGCTTAGGTAAACAGTGGGAGGGAGCAATAATCTGGTGCCGATCAGCAAGTGCTTCATTCATAGGAGGGGCTGGCAATTATGACTGGTGAATGAATCAAAACTGCTCGTCCACAGCATCAGGAGCCAATATACAATCTATGGCAACGAGTTGGGCAACAAGAGATTTGCGTGGCCATCTTGGACTGTTTTTGGGGGTTTGTTACTTGATGAAATATATAGCAGCTGCAGACATGTTGGACAGACTGTCGTCTCATGCAGTACCATGTAGTGATGATGATGATGATGATGATGATGATGATGATGATGATGATGATGATGATGAAACACAAGGAGAGAAGTGGAAAGTGGGTTCTACAGGTGGTTGTCTTGGACAGGTAGCTATCTGAGCAAGTCCAACAATATATACCTATGACATATCATCATTAAAACCTTGTGACAAAATGAAGAGTAAAGATCTTTCATCTAAAAGGTCATGACATTAACTAAAAGCTTAAAATACCTTCAAGCCTCTCAATGATGGAAACATGAGTCTAAAGACTTGTATTGAAATGGAAATGGTAAAATTTCATTAGTCCTCTCAGCAGGTGTTACAGCGTATGAATCACACAAGAGAAAATGTCGTCAAAAACATACCAATGGCTGTGATTACACAAAAAGCTAAAAATATTTATTTATAGTCTGACTTGAAGGTTAAAATCGGCTCAAATAACTGTGACAACAATGAGATATGTTTTTAAAACTCTTTCCACTTACCTGAACGCGACGATATGTTGTAAAACTGCTCAATCTTATTGTCTAAGGCATTCTGAAAGAGATACATTAAACCACATGAGTACTGTACAGCCAGAAAGGAATTTGAACATAAAAAGAAAAAAGAGAGACATTCATTAAAATTTCTAAAAGACCAAAAATATAAGCAGCTAATAATTCGGCCCACAAGATGAGAGACATGCTAAACAGGAAGACAAAAGAGGTTATACAATAATGATGATAAAAACAAACATGATCAGTCTCAACAGAAACAATAAAAAAAGGTTTAAAGAAATGGAAAAGCACACCTAACTTAATCTTTTTGAACCCGATAAGACCAACATTTTGTCCGAAGCCAAAGGTCTCTGTACCTCAAATGCCCCATATTACATTGGTACACGTATGCCACTACTACTTCTAACCCAACTGTTCGCGCAAGCCAATAAAAAAATCAGGAACCCTGGAGAACTAGCACCATCAGGGTCATGACGTTAAAGAGTTCAAAGGGTTAACTCAATAATCCTGAATGGACGACGTTAACGTCCAGTGAAACTCGCCTAACCCCGCAGAGGAAAGTCCCAGCATCCGATCAGATCGCAGATTGCATGATGCATTACTGCAAATGCAATCTCTAACAAATCGGAGTAGATTTATTATTTTGACTTGGATGTGTTAGATAAATATAATATAAACTACTCCTTCTTTCATTTTTGACACAGTTTCAGCCGTTTTATGAAAATTTTACATGAATACCCCTTAACGTATTTCATTAGATCTTGAAAAAAATAATGTCAAAACATGGAAAAAAATTCCTTGGTTAAAGGGTGAAATCTCATTCACAGCAGGAACAACAAACTTACAATAATTGTGACGGTCAGTGGTCTATAAGTGGGCTTTAGGGTCTTATCCACATTGAGCACTCGGAACTTCACTGGAAGAGAAAAGGTAGGAGAATAAATTAGGGTCAAGACGTAAAAATCAATGTTTTGAGGGGTTTTTTTTCCACTTTTAAAGTTAACACATTATTTAGACACTAAAAGACCATTTTGACAGTGGGCCTCCTCACCTTGAAAAAGCAGATATAAACTAATTCCTGTCCAAATAAGAAAAGATAGGGGCAGTACATACTGGTGAGACAAAGGGGCTACATCTAAGTAGGAATAAGCAGGTCATCAAAGTAGCAATTGGTAGTACTGTGGAACAATGAGCTATAAGTATCTGCTATCTTTAGAATGGTAGAAGAGGGATTCAAAAGACAACAGAGGTTGGGAAGGATAAGGGAAAAGGGGGAGGAGATGGAAAGAAAATAAGGATGAGGAGTGTATAGAAAGGTTAGAGAGAAAAAAGAGGAGGATGAAACTGAGACAGGGGTAGGAAAAGGGAAATTTGGGGAGGGGGGGGGGAGACAGATCAGCAGATACAAAAAAAACAACAACAACTTAAGCCAAGATCCCAAAATCAGACATCCAGCACCAAAGTCCAACATAAAATAAGGAGGATTAAAAGTCATAACAGTCAGCTGTTTGTTTTATTTATATGAGTAAAAAGAAGCACATCGACACAATACTGGTCATTTAGTACCGGTCGGGGGGGGGGGGTACGACAGACAGACGGTCCAAGAGGGAACACTTGGGAAAATAAAGAAGTAGGACCTACCAGAAGAAGCGCCCCCCAAACACCCGCTCACAGCATGCTGAAGAGTGAGTGGGGATAATAACGGTACACAACTTACCAGTCTGACCAGGCTTGTAAATGTTCTTGTCCGTCTGCACCAGGACCACGGACGTGTTGCCGTTGATGATAAGGGTCTCCGTCTTCTTAAACGTTTCACCCCCACTGCACTCGAATGTCGCACGTAGATACGAACGAGAATCCAACAGCTCCGGCAACTGCACAGGTGAGAGAAGAAACAAAAACAATATTACTAAGTTTGAATATAAGATAAGATAGACAAGATAAGATAAGATAATATATACTTTAACATCCCAGAGGGAAATGTCAGCTTTGCAATGTATCGGATCTAAACCCGTTTGGGGTATTATTTATGCGTCAACATGAAACTTACTTACGGTAGGCTTACTCAAATATAGGTTATACAGTATACAGATATCCTGTCTTCCCCAACATATGACAAGCTTTATCAACCGAAGAAAGTGTTGACCGAATCAGCACTATGGCAATGAATTTGAGTGATTAAAAATAGATTAGGCTAGAGTAGCTAAGCTTTTGGTGGACACCATCGGGTGCTGAAGGCGAATTATGTCAAGGAGCCTGTATATGAGGAATGAAAAAAAGATTGTATCTGTTAACCCTATCCGTATGCACTGGGGTCATTTTGTACCCCCGGGATTGTATTCTTCACATTTTAGAATACTTCAAGTATGAAGATCTCTTTGAAACTTTCAGTATTTCTCAAAAAATCAATTTGACAGACTACTATGCAAAGCGTAAGGATTGGATTAACGAGTAAATTTCCTCTTTGGAAAGTGGAGGCACAGAGTTCCCCACGTCGTATGGATACGATAGTAAAACACGACGTACGGATAGGGTTAAACAATCCTTTAAAATAGAGAAGATATTTAAGAGATGTGACACCTATTCAAGGTCCACCAGCAATACGGGAGGG